TTATGACGATCGGTTCATAATTGACCCTACCTCCCATATTAGGTCCGCTTCGGAAAATCACTATAACGCTCTTTACTGGCTTAAAAATAAGAATATAGCAATGAAATCACAGAAGTTAGTCCCTGAGGAGCCAAAACCTCTTTACCAAATTTTATGTGGGTCGGTCCATAATTGACCCTATCTCCATATAATGTCCCCTCCAGATAATTACTAAGTTTCATGCAAGTCAAAATTTCTCTACCAAATTTTATGTGGATCGGTCTATAATTGACCCTACTCCCCATATAAGGTCCCCTTCAAAAAATAACTAATGAGCGTTAGTTAAAAATACGAGTATAGCAATGATAATTACTTTAACGCTCATTATTGGCTTAAAAATACGAGTGTAGAGATGAAATTTGACATAATTAAGTTTCTTTCGAGCCAAAACTTAAGAAACTTTTATAGGAACGTAAATCTTTCTACCGAATTTAATGCGGAACGTGTCGGGAGCCGAATATAGAATACTCTTACTTGTTTTTTTCCTCTCGACTAGAAAAGTACAGAACACAGGCATAAATTACACTATTATTATTTAGCACGGCTCGTAATAATGGGATTTAATTATTTACAAAATTTCGGTAAATATTAAAAGCCACTTGCGGTTTTTTCCACTGCCATCGTGCAAATTGTTGATAAGAAGGGATCTTGTTGTCCCTTTAAATATTCTAATCTTAAGCTTAAGTCACCATGTGTTTATGTTTAACTATATCATGGCAGAACTAGGGTTCTATAAATCGACTTTCGAATAATCGAACAATCGACTTTTTGTCGAAAAAAGTCGAAAAGTCGAAGTCGACTATTTTGTTCAAAAAAAGTCGATAACTCGACTATGGTCTGTGAATAAAGTCGAAAAGTCGACTTTGTTAATAAAACTCGAAAAAAGTTGAAAAGTCTGAAAGTCGAAAAAAATCGATAAGTCGAAAAAAGTCAAAAAGTCGTAAAAAGTCGAAAAGTCGAAAACTCGAAAATTTTAGAAACAAGTCAAAAATAGTCGAAAATCTTAAAAAAAGTGGAAAAAAGTCAAAAACTCTTAAATAGTCGGAAAAACTCGAAAAAAGTAAAAAAATAGTCGAAAAAATGTCGAAAATAGTCAAAAAGTCGAAAAAATCGAAAAGTCGAAAAAAGGCGGAAAAAGTCGAAAAATCGAAAAAATTCGAAAAGTCGACTATTTATAAAATACTTATAGTCGAAAAGTCTAAAAGTCGACTTTTAATTAAATGAAAAAAGTCGAAAAATCGACTCATCCCTACAACAATAAAAAAACATGTATCATCCCTACAACATCCTATGTCATTCCTACAACATCCCTACAACAATAAAAAACATGTATTTTATTTTTGTACTAGAATTAGCTTGCCGTCAAAAATTACATAATAAATGTAAACAAATAACATTAATAACATGTAAACAACACAGAAAAAAAAATAATCGGTTGCTTTTAATTAATTTTTTCATTACAACATTCTAAAAACTTTTATTAAAACTAGTTCTAGTACAAATTTAATAGAAAATAATATTGTTACGAAATTGAATTTGCATTTAAACTAAACGGTTTTTAACGGCCAGTTCCCGAAATTTCTTAGCGACTAACATTTGGGTGGCATCACTAAGCGTTGAAGAGGTGTGTGTCTCCACTAAACATTGACTTACATCAGTAGAAGTATCTAGATGATGGAGCCAGAATAAACTGGAAATATAAAGAAGGTGATGCCCATGTATAAATAGCGGTGGCAATCACCAAATGAGTCAGTCTGTAATAAATCGTCATTGAGTAAAGTTAATAAAGTCAAGTGTGCTTTCGTGTGTTAAAGATAAAAAGACAGCCTTACAGTCTACTATATAAGTTGTGTTATAAAAGTATTTGTGTATAAAACTGTGTAAATAAAGAGTTGTTGTAGTTTTTAACAAATTGACGCTTTTATTTGCAATAAGAAGAATCCAGTTTATTTCAAAAGGAAATAAACAAACGTTTTAAAAGGTAAAACGTAACAATTGGTGTCAGAAGCGGAATTGCATAATAAAAAGCAGTCATGAAGTTCGAAGAACTAAAAGTGGAACAACTCAAGAGAGAATTGAGTAAGATGGAGTTACCGACAGCCGGTAATAAGGCAGAATTGCAAAAGAGGCTAATAGATGAATTCAAGCGGCGTGACATTGACATAGGTACATACGAATTCGAGTACAAAGAAGAGACTGAGATATGTACTCGCTCAACAACGAGCAACATGGACTTAAACACAATGTTTGCCGCTATGATGGAGAAATTTGCTGAAGTTCAAGAAACTTCTAAGGCTAACTACGAGAAACTTCTTACTGACAACGAGAAACTTCTTACTGACAACGAGAAACTTCGAGCTGAGGTTAAAGCTGAAGTAAAGGAAACTTTTAAACACTTAGCTGAAATGGAAGCAAAATTTCAGGAAAGTTCAAGAGCCACAGAAGAAAAAATTCTGGAAGTGTCTGAGGTTATTAATAGCAGAGTAGATGGCATTGACAAAAAGGTGTCAGACTTAGAAACAAAGATGAATAATCTGCAATATCAAGAAGGAGCTGTACGAATCATTCCAGAAACCTCGAGTAGAATAAAAGCCCCTAGTTTTGATGGCACCACACCTTTTAATGTGTTCAAGTTCCAGTTTGAGACAGTTGCCATCAGAAACATGTGGAATAATGAAGAAAAAGCTATAGAATTGATCTTAGCCTTAAAAGGAGGTGCTTCAGTAGTTCTTGAGAGCGTACCAGTGAGCAACAGAAATAATTATGACGACATAATGGAAGCACTACAACGCAAGTACGGTGGAGAACATAAAAAGGAATTATACCGAATGGAATTGCGTGGCAGAGTGCAGAAGGCCAATGAGACACTACAAGACTTTGCATTGGAAATCGAGCGATTGATACAGCTTACTTATCCAGGAGAACATCACCCGTTTTTGGATATTTTCAAGATAGAGGCATTTGTAAATGGCATACGTGATCCTGAGATAAAACATGCGGTTTGTGCCACACCAAAGCCATCATTCGCTGAAACTGTCTCATTTGCGCTGGCACAAGAAACGGCTAAAATAATTTCAAAGCCACAAATATTCAAGGTACGAAATGTCGAGGTTGTCGCTGAAAACGAAAGGAATATAGTCACTGAGATAAAAAAGGCAGTTTTAGAGGCTTTAAATGAGAAACAAAATAAAGCCAAAATCAAATGCTATAACTGTGGTAAAACCGGACATATTCAGCGAAACTGCAAAGCACAAAGAAAACGTACCAGATCGGTCTCACCGCCAAGAAACAACCAACAGGTAAATCATCACTCATCACAAGAATCACCTTTAAAATTAAAACGAGCTAGCACTGAGGGGCAAGAGCTAGCTCCCACATCTGACGGCCCCACAATCTCCATATCAGTAATGCAGCAGAAAAATAGTAATCTAACTGCTGGTGGATACATCAATGGTCGAAAGCACATTTTTACTATAGACACAGGAGCGTCGCTGTCTATTATTAGACCAGATTTAGTTAAGAAAACAATTGAACCACTATACGGGGTAAGATTACGCACCGCCACTGGAGAGCCTACCACTGTCTATGGTAAAGTAAATGCGAAAGTAATCATTGCCAACATAAGCGTAGATCATGTATTTATTGTTGCCGATATCGTGGACGAGGTAATCATTGGTGCAGACTTCATGATTATGCATGGCATTAAATTACATCTGGGACCAAATGTTATGATTTGGCGAAATGTTGAAATACCTCTTGATGTCGGATATCAAAGTAAGGCCTATGTAAGAAAACTGGTTGCAGTAGATCATCAAAATTTGCCACCGCCACTGGCCGTGTGGGTCAGTGTTGAGGAAGATTGCATGGACAACAGCTTGTGGGTGGCAGAATCAGCATATGTGAAAAGTGACCATGTTACAAGGGAGGTGCCCGTTCAACCGTGCAATGACGATGTGGTTCCTGAGCGAAAGCTTGATCTGCCCAGCTGTAAAGAGGTCGACGAGCTGGATTCCAAGATGGGTAAATGTGCTTCAGCAAAGGCAGCAAATAATTGTGGGAAAAATACCGCCAGGGAATTCACCAAAGAACAAGGACCTAATGAAATCGTTCAGAGACGATTTAAAGTGGCAAGCGAAAAGATGATGGCCAGATATGATCGAGTCGGGAATGTTAAAGAGCCGTTAGTATCACACTTTAACCCACAACGTAGTAAGGGATTGTCTTCCAAACCACAGAATTACTGGAAAGTTCAAAAATTGGACGACGTGGTCTATAGGATACGAAAATGTGGAAGACTGTGAATCTGTGCCTATTCGGGACGAACAGGCTTAAGCGGGGGACAGTGTTACGAAATTGAATTTGCATTTAAACTAAACGGTTTTTAACGGCCAGTTCCCGAAATTTCTTAGCGACTAACATTTGGGTGGCATCACTAAGCGTTGAAGAGGTGTGTGTCTCCACTAAACATTGACTTACATCAGTAGAAGTATCTAGATGATGGAGCCAGAATAAACTGGAAATATAAAGAAGGTGATGCCCATGTATAAATAGCGGTGGCAATCACCAAATGAGTCAGTCTGTAATAAATCGTCATTGAGTAAAGTTAATAAAGTCAAGTGTGCTTTCGTGTGTTAAAGATAAAAAGACAGCCTTACAGTCTACTATATAAGTTGTGTTATAAAAGTATTTGTGTATAAAACTGTGTAAATAAAGAGTTGTTGTAGTTTTTAACAAATTGACGCTTTTATTTGCAATAAGAAGAATCCAGTTTATTTCAAAAGGAAATAAACAAACGTTTTAAAAGGTAAAACGTAACAATATAATCACTACATTTAACTAGAATTAAAATAATTCGCATTCTACTGTTGTGTCAATGTTGCCAAAGTCAAACACTTTTGAACAACAGATCTGGCAATACCGAAATTCAATTGCAACAAAAAGTTAACGACGCTAGAATTTTTCAACCAACTACGAGATTCAATTCAGTTTGCATATTATACCGTAGAAAAAAAAGTACGAAAATTGCATATTTATTAGATCATCTAAAAAATTATATTAAATCCTTTGCATAGACAAGATAAAAAAATTTATTGTGCAGTTAAATAATATTAATAATACAAAGACAACAAAAAGTGAATCACTTTTGTATATTATGAGCGACTGGGCAAAAACTCAAAAGAACCAAACCAATAAAAACATTGAAAAAATGTCGGATGACGCATCTAAGTTTTTGGGAGGGATTTTGGGCGACATTAGCTCTCGCTCGGCGTACTCCCAAATACTAATAGGTGCCTCAACTGGTTGGGCCACTGGTTTCGCTACCATGAAAGTAGGAAAATTTGCTGCTTTCGCCATTGGTGGTGGTATTATATTAATGGAAATTGCGCATCAAGAAGGTTATATCGAAATTGACTGGTCGAAAATAACACGCAAATTGGATAAAGTCACCGATAAAGTGGAGGAAGCTGTCACTGGCCACGAGAAAACTTGGATTGACAAGACCGAAAGATTTGTTGATCGTAAATTGGATCGTGCTGAGGACTTGCTGAAGGGAAAATCGAAATTAGCCAAAAAATGGTACAGCAAATTGATTGGCGATGAAAATGGCCCCAAAATAAATGATCTACACATTTTCTTAACTGCATTCGTTGGAGGCATTGCCTTGGGCATAGCTACTGCCTAAAAAGTAAAGTTTTTAAAACAATAAAAAAACCCAGAAACTACTCAGCATAAAAAAGTAATTTTAAAAATGAATGTATTACCCTTAAAGAATGTGTGTTAGAAGAGTCATTTATTTTTTTTTGTTGTCTTCATTATTACTTTATTTAAATTATTTAAAATGAATTATTTGTGAGATGTACTTTTTTAAACGAATCTTTATTTAATTTATGTCTTAAATGTTAATTTTAGTATTATCACAAAAAAACAAAAAAATGCGTTTAATCGAATAAAATAAAACAACAAATTAATCGATGAAATTTTCTTAAAATTTCAAACGAAAATAGTTTTTGTTGACGGAAGTAATTTTCCTTTTTTAAATGTTGAGATCACAGACACTTTTAGAAATACTTTATACTAAAAGTAATTAACTAGAATGTGAGTAGAATTTGCTGCTGTTCAAAAAATACACATAAAAGCGCGTCATTATATAAGATTTATAAGCAATGTTGCGAATAACTTGACTAAAATATGTACTTTTATTTAGAAGAAAAACATGTACACCAATTGTAAAATCTTCCAATATTATATGCCAACTTGATAATTTCAGCACTATTATAAATTGCAAATACAATAGTGTGTTAGAAATTAAATAAACATTCAACAGAAACACTAAAATATTGTTGGTTTTTATTAAAAAAAATTAATTGTATAAATAAATGAATATTGCCGCGCCGCTCTGAACTATTTTACCGCGCTACCTTCCAATCACATATGTTCAGCCATATTCCAGTCTACTCTATAGTGCTATCTATAGTATATACTATATTCTAGTACTGATTATAGTCTAGTTTATAGTTCAAACTATAGTATAATCTTTAGTCCAGAATAAAATCTAGTATATAGGACTGAATAAAATCTATGGTTTAGACAATAGTCCAAACTATAGCTTATTCTAAAGTCCACACTATATTCTAGTTTATAGTCCATGATTTAGTCGAACTATAGTCTTTAGGTCCGAACAATTCAGAATATGGTCTAGCCTATAATCTAATCAACAGTCCAGCCTATAGTTTACATTATAGTCTAGTCTACAGTCCAGATTGCATTATACCTATAGTCCAGACCATAATTTAGTCTATAGTGCAGACTATAATCCTGTCTATTGGCCAGATAATGTTCTAAACTATAGTGCATAATATAAATTATACTCCAGACTGTTGTAGTCTAGTATTTAGTACAAATTATAGTCTATAGACCACACTATACTCTAGTCTATAATTCATAGTACACTATAGTACGCATCCATCTAAAATAAAATTCATTCAAAAATATCGTTTTCTATCGATATATTTTTAAAAATTAAAAATAAACATATTTTTTTTACATCTTAAACGGATAGTTTGGTTTTCCACCTCCATTATGATTACCATGATGGCTGTTGTCTGCCCTCAGGACGACCATACAAAGCACTCTTGTCTCTGAACATGGTCATACGTTCGGTTTCCTTTAAATCCAAAAAGTGGCCAATAGCAAAACCAAGCAAAGGCAAAACGCCAAAAATGTAACGTTTGTCGATACCCAACATATTTGGAGATTAGTTTTTCAAAAGTTCTTTAGTCTGAGCTAGTTCCTTTTGTTTACGTTTCCAGGCCTGTGTATTAGACCAGTCGGCAAAAATAGTGGCGGCAGTAAAGGTAGGGAAAAATATTACAGCTCCGTATTTTTTTGCCACTTGAGCAACAATATTTGCCATGAAGATCTGCAACGAGAAACAAAAAACAACACACCAATCCGGTGAATAAATGAAAAAATCAAACATTACGTAAGTTGTGACATTTCTTTTTTAGAAATTATTGTATTTTATAAAAATTTTTTAATGCAAAAAACTTTCACGTATTTTAATTTGTATTTAGGACTATTATTTGTTTAATATTTTATTTGTTTTCTTGATATTTTAAGAATTTTAACAAAAATTACTCCTTCAATTTGCACTTACTTTTTCCAAATGTTGCGTGTTTTTACGTTTTTCTTTTTTGTGTTTAATAAAATGTCAATTTTTTTGACATTTCATTTATTACGTTATTTCTTATTAGGGGGGGTTCTAAAATCGACCTTAAAATGATCGATGAATCGGCTTTTTGTTGGAAAAAGGTAAAGTCGACTTTTTTGTCCTAACAAAGTCAATAAATCGACTATCTTGTAAGAAAAAATCGATTTTGTAAACAAAAGCCTAAAATTCGCAGTGTTTTATGAAATCGCAAAAAGTTAAAAAATCGACTTTTCCATAATACAAAAAGTCGACTTTTTGTTCCAACTGTATCGCTCTATTTCTTATTTTGTTTCTCTTTGAGGTCCTATAGTTGATTTTTACACTTATCGACATTTAAGATAAATAAATTTTATATTGTAAAATTTCTGAATATTTAGTGAAAGTGGTTAGCAAAAATGTTGAAGACGGCGGCTTTGAAATTTTAGCGGCGGCTAGGCCGAACTGGCGCAGGCCTCAGCAATTGGAAATTAAAAACAAATCACAATTAAAAAATAATAAATCATTCACAATAATATCACAATGGAAAGTGAATGCCTTAAAATATGCTTTGTTTTCCATTAGAAATTAAGAAATTCTATTACCATTTAACAATAAATACATGTTAAACGAATAAAATATTTGAAATTAATATTTCAACTACATTAAAGTTTTTTAATTGTATAAGAATTTAAGAACAAATTTCATGAGAAATAGTTTAACAATTCAAAGCATTCAAAATTGAGAACGTATTTTTCTATTGATTCTATTCAATTCTTGTTATTGTTATACATATTATGGTTTTATTAATAAAAATCTTTTAATTACAATTTGTTCTAAAATATTTTGTTTATTAAAAAAATATGACACTTTTTAAAAGCAAAATTAAATAAATAGTACATACAAATTGTTTCACCTAAAGAAACAAAACAAAATTAGTAATTAAACCCAGTCCTTTAAAATTTGAATGCAAATTAAATTAAACTACTAGAGGAAGAATTACAATGTTTATAATGCATTATTTCAATTAGCTTCTCTTTGGTCTCTGCTCTTGTGATACCCATTAATAAATCATTTTGTGGACTGACTATTGTTTTTTGGCAATATTACGTAAAGCTCGTTTGCGGGTATTGAGTAATTGTTTAAATACTAATTGACTAGCAAATTGTTCACAGAAAATGCACGCAATAGCACTGAGAGCATTTTGCATAAGAGTGTGCGGTAAATAGCCAGCGGTACGTTCGGCAATACCTAAAGTTTTAAGAGCCGATGCGACATAGGTATCGGCTGAGGGTGCGAAGGCACTGGTTTTGCGTATTTTTGTCATGTTGGTGGCCACAAAACCGGGTTGAATACTTTGCACTACAATGCCTTGGGCACGATATTCGGTTTGTAAATCGGCACTGAATTTATCAACAAAGGCCTGAAAATGAGATATAACATTTGTAAGAATATAAACATACATACTTTTTCTATCTTCATGTATTTACCTTGGTAGAACTATATACCGTTAATAGGGGATTCGGTATAACACCAGCTGTAGATGATATATTTATTACAGCACCCTTCTTTCTTTCCACCATTTGTGGCAATATTAAAGCGGTCATTTGTAGCACCGAGTGTACATTGGCCGATATAATGTCTCTTAAGAATTGTGGATTCTGTTGACTGAATTCAACAAAGAATTCGGGATAGGAATAACTCATGCCCACATTATTTACCAAAACACCAATTTCCAGACCTTCAATGCTCTGTTTAATTTTGGAATAAATTTCCTGGCATCCGGTAAAATCAACATCAATGATTTTGGTCTCAACGTTGTAAGCATCAGCTGTAGAAATTAATCCGTAGTTGATTATAATAATTTTGTGCTAATATTTAGGACTTACCGATTTCTTTGGCTACAGTTTCCAATTTACTAAGAGATCGACTGATGAGCACCACATTCAGACCCTTTTTGGCCAACTGGAAGAATAAAAGAATGAATTTAACTATAATTAAGGTTATAAATTAATCGGGGATATCTATCGTACGCTTTTGTCATTGCATTGATCGTATGAATTAACTAACTAACTAACTAACTAACTAACTAACTAACTAACTAACTAACTAACTAACTAACTAACTAACTAACTAACTAACTAACTAACTAACTAACTAACTAACTAACTAACTAACTAACTAACTAACTAACTAACTAACTAACTAACTAACTAACTAACTAACTAACTAACTAACTAACTAACTAACTAACTAACTAACTAACTAACTAACTAACTAACTAACTAACTAGCTAACTAACTAACTATTTAATAATTTTTTTAGGTTCACTATACTATTACAAACAAATATTGCAGATTATCAAAATTTTTAAAATGATTTTCTAACTTAAGTATTAAGATTAGAATTTATCACTAAATTATTTACTATTTTACTAAATAAACAATTAACAAAGTTTGCTTATTTGATTTAATATTTCCTATTTTATTCTGTCAAAGTTTCTATGTAAATATTTACATAAAAAATTTACTTTACAAATGTGCAAAATGCATAATTTTTTAAAAAGTATACTTCAGAATGACACTCAATAATTCGAAATGAAAATTATAAATTTAAAATGCATTTGCATATGAGTACATCTTTTACTTTTTTGTTTAAAAACGATTTTTTATTTGAACTTGTACTTCTAAGTTAAATATTATTTACAGAACTATTAGTGGACCTTGATTATTTACAATAGTTTTTTTTTTATTTGAAAATTAATTAATAAATTTGCAAAAAATATGATTTGTAAAGAGTTACTTATAGGGAATTTTTGTCAAGGGCTGTTTACAGTTAATGTAATAATGGTAGCCTTCATCTGAAGTATTTGAAAATATCAGGGACTAAGTGTAGGCAATTAAAAATCTATAGAATTTCGGATTACCTGTAAAATATTTATGATAAATTTGTATAATTTGATATAAATGTTCGAAAGTCGAACAGAAGTTTATAACAAAAATCGTGAATAGATCCCATAAATAGATGTACAATATGTATTCATTACGTGTCAACAATAATTTTTACACTATTAAACAAAATGTTTTCTGGCAACATGCTAAATATGCAGTTATTGAAAATTGTTGATAATAGCGGTCAATTTAAATACATATTTATATACAAAAATATATGTGTATACATAATGTACTGAATTGAATATACATTTAGAAAAATATAAACCAGACTAATGTAAATAAAATTGTCAGACCGTCAGTCAGTCTAAACGATTATTTTTTTAATATTCTTTCCGTGTGCGTTTAGTTTTTTTTTTAACATTAATAAATACTTCTATTACTTTCGTTCGTAGTGATTTAGTAAAATTAGTATTCATTGAACTTTTGGAGGGCCCTATCGAGTTCTTTATATATTACTTGTATTTTATGCAATTGTCAATTGTCTGTCCTCTATATTTGTAGGTTTTTAATATAAAAATACAAAATTTTTGTATACGTTGGTTCTTTTTTACGTGTTATAAATAAATGATGAGTTAGCGCTATTTTATTTTATATGTATTTATATATATTTTTAATTATTTAAAGAAATTAACATGTGGGGACTCAAAGTACACAGATCCAAAGTTTTATAGAATTGGGTTTATTTGTTATGAAAATAGATTTCTATATAGACTAAACAGTGTCGTAACAGTTGCAATTCTTATAGCAGATATATACATGTATCCACATGTTTCTGAAATTCTAAAACTAAAATTTGGACCACATTTGTTCCGAGGCTGACAACAGGGTGTATACATATGTAAAACTTTATTCCTGACGGGATTGTAAAGGGCCAAATAGACTACACAAGCGGCTTGACAAACATACCAATATTTTACGTTTGCGCAAGCCTGTTGTAGTGTATGAAAATTAAAAAATTTTGATTCTTACATAAACATATTGAATTTTTGTCAAGCCCTTTGTATGGTTTATATTCATTAATAACCATTTTTTTTACAAAATATCAATTTCTAAGAAAAATTGGCGTCTGTATCTTTGCAAGTCCACAAAAACGTGAAAAAATCGGTGTTTGTACCAGCATTGTTTGTGTAGTGTGTGTGGGAATAAAAAAAGTATGTTTGTCAAGCCGCTTGTGTAGTCTATTTGGGCCTTAAGCTTTGAAATTTTTAAAAAGAGTGGAATATGTATAAAATTTAGATATAAAGGTTTTCAAGACACTATTTAAAATGCACTGTAACTTACAGGGTAATGAGATCGTAAGCTTATATCTACATAAACCTTAGCATAAGGAAGAGGTTGGTAAAGCCCTGCAAAAGAAGTATATGATCTATTTAGTTAATCCCAAAATTACTCCCCTTTTTATTGCATTACATGATCCATTAAGTAGTACATGGTTCATAACCTACATTACATAGAACCATGTTGAGGATCACTCCCATAATTTTAGCAAGGGACTAGTCAGCGAGATAATACCATACGGACAATTGGAACCACAGAGATCCCTAAGGAGAACTGGAGGAGAAAACTCCTCAGAATGATCAGGTCTGAGGTTAATATGAGTGGACGTATAAAAGAGCTGTTTGAGACGTCAGAGTGAAACTCTGGAACACTTTAGATCCAAATATCTTAGAAGCAAAAACAACCTACACGTACACTGAGTTTAAAACTTTAAGAAACTACTTCCAGCACGCAATGGGGGGTAATGACTACATTTTAAATTACAATTACATTTGAAGTTATTGTAATTAAAGATTCACCAATCTCAATTACTTGTAATTGTAATTGAAGTTTATGCAATTACAATTATTTGTAATTGAAGTTTCGCCAATTACAATTACTTTTAATTGTAATTGAAGAATTTCCAGTTACAATTACTTGTAATTGTAAATTTTGTTCCTTATAACAAGTAACAATAACAAGTAATTTTAATTGGAAACTTCAATTGCAATTACAAGTAATTGTAATTGGCAAAACTTCAATTACAATTACAAGTAATTGTAATTGGTTATTGGTCAATTACACATTACAAGTAATTGTAATTGGAAAAACCTCAATAACAATTACAAATAATTCCTCAATTAAACATTACAAGTAATTGTAATTGACCACGTAATGAATTAATTTGTATAATCATTACCCCCCATACCTGACTTCCAGGAAACTGATTTTCTGAACATTGGACGATAATACCTTTATAAAGCACTATATAAGATTCTCCCACCAATATTTTCCATGTATTTCCATGTGATCTAAATGTATTCCTCTTTGTGCTTTAGATGTATTTCTCGTCGGATTTCATGTATTATACATCCTCCTCACAACATAAACAATCGAATATAGGCTATTAGAAGACTCTGTGCAAAGCATGATCGTGTGAAAACGATTGCTAAATGTTTAGGTGGATATTGGACCAATATTTGTGGGTATTACAAACAGAATATACACTACTACAGCTTTTTCAATTGCATTTCAGAAAATTCATTCCTTAAAATCATTTACTTTCAAATTTGTGGTTAAAAATCAATATAAAACTTACCGCTTTGGCGTAGGATTTTCCAATACCATCGGTAGCACCGGTAATTACTAAAACAAAATTGAAAATTTTTAATAATCTCATAAAACCAAATACATTAATTCGTAGATAAAACCTTATCAAAATTAGGTCTGTATAAATGTTTTTTCTTGATAAAATTTTAGATAATTTTTCACAATACAACCAAATGATAAGAGTTTTATCGTAAATCACCACCACCTACCAGCCCATTTGCCCAAACGTGAAACATTTACTTTGGGTCCCAAGAATTTAGGACCAATTATATTAATATACAACCAGGGTAGGAATTTTGTAACCAATTGATAGCCCACTATGGAAATGGCAGCTGTGCCCAAAACACGCATACATTTGGAATCGAAATCCATGTTTTTTAGTGGATTTTTTTTCACAAAATTTCTTAAAGAATTTTAAGAGTTTTTAGTTGCTGTTTTTGTTTTCTTTTTAAAGAAAAAGCTTACACAAATGTTTTAGTTAATTTTTTTCTTTTATTATTTGTATTTTCCGTTTTATTGTACCGGGTTGCGTTGACTTTTTTTAATAAACTGTCACTATAGTTTTGTCGAACACACAGTATTGCCTCTGCTGAGTTTGTGATTTTTATTTAATTTTTTTTGTTAATTTTTGTATATACGTGGTTGTTGTTTTTGTTATTTTCAATTGATTCATTTAAAGAACACATTTCTTTTAACTTTTACGAGTACAATGTGTTCCGTTCGTTTTGAGTTTATTTCTTTCTATTTAGAATTCAAAACTCATATGTATTCTATAGATAAGGCAATGTTTGAGTGGTGCGCTCTCCCCTTTACATAAAAACCCAACATATGTATTGTATAGCTCTCCTGTATAGATTTTTTGTGTATTTATGCCGGTACTCATTATAGATTTTCCTTTTTATTAGTTTTACTCATTCGGGTTTCAATAATAAAGGGTGTGTGCTCTCCCTGCATTTTAGTGCGACCGTCCTGCCGACCCACCACCAACAAATAAAACTGATGAAGAACCGTTATTCTCGCAAAAATATTCATACACACACACACACACATTTACCCACTTTTTGTGTATTTTGAGTTTTCACTCAGTGTTATCAGATGTGAGAATTTGTTCTAATCTCTATTTATGTTTATTTAAGTGTTGCCTAGTTTTTTGGGAACTTTGAATTAATTTAATAACAACGTTTATTTTGAATTCCTAAAAACAATCATTTACTGAAAGCATATCTTCAGGAGTAATTAATATATTTCAAGTAATGCCAATTAATTAAAATCAAAAATAAGAGATTTTCTATGGAAATTTTTTTAAAACAAGATTTTCTATAGAAATTTTCCATAGAAAATTTGTTAAAAGCCAGATTTTCTATAGAAAATTGGTTAAAAATAGGATTCTCTCTAGAAAATTTGTTAAAAACAGGATTTTCTACAGAAAATTTATTGAAAACTAGATTTTCTATATAAAATTTCTTGAAGAGAAAATTTCTTAAAGACAAGATTTTCTATAGAAAATTTGTTAAAGACAAGATTTTCTATAGAAAATATGTTAAAAACAAGATTTTCTATAGAAAATTTGTTAAAGACAAGATTTTCTATAGAAAATTTGTTAAAGACAAGATTTTCTATAGAAAATTTGTTAAAGACAAGATTTTCTATAGAAAATTCATTAAAGACAAGATTTTCTATAGAAAATTTGTTAAATATAAGATTTTCTATAGAAAATTTGTTAAAGACAAGATTTTCTATAGAAAATTTTTTAAAGACAAGATTTTCTATAGAAAATTTTTTAAAGACAAGATTTTCTATAGAAAATTTGTTAAAGACAAGATTTTCTATAGAAAATTTGTTAAAGACAAGATTTTCTATAAAAAATTTGTTAAAAACAAGATTTTCTATAAAAAATTTGTTAATAGTAAGATTTTCTATAAAAAATTTGTTAATAATAAGATTTTCTATAAAAAATTTGTTAAAGACAAGATTTTCTATAGAAAATTTGTTAAAGACAAGATTTTCTATAGAAAATTTGTTAAAGACAAGATTTTCTATAGAAAATTTGTTAAAGACAAGATTTTCTATAGAAAATTTGTTAAAGACAAGTTTTTCTATAGAAAATTTGTTAATAACAAGATTTTCTATAAAAAATTTATTAATAACAAGATTTTCTATAAAAAATTTGTTAATAACAAGATTTTCTATACAAAATTTGTTAATAACAAAATTTTCTATAAAAAATTTGTTAATAACAAAATTTTCTATAGAAAATTTTTTTTAAAGACAAGATTTTTTATAGAAAATTTGTTAAAGACAAGATTTTCTATAGAAAATTTGTTAAAGACAAGATTTTCTATAGAAAATTTGTTAAAGACAAGATTTTCTATAGAAAATTTGTTAAAGACAAGATTTTCTATAGAAAATTTGTTCAAGACAAGATTTTCTATAGAAAATTTGTTCAAGATAAGATTTTCTATAGAAAATTTGTTAAAGACAAGATTTTCTATAGAAAATTTGTTAAAGACAATATTTTCTATAGAAAATTTGTTAAAGACAATATTTTCTATAGAAAATTTGTTAAAGACAATATTTTCTATAGAAAATTTGTTAAAGACAATATTTTCTATAGAAAATTTGTTAAAGACAATATTTTCTATAGAAAATTTGTTAAAGACAAGATTTTCTATAGAAAATTTGTTAAAGACAAGATTTTCTATAGAAAATTTGTTAAAGACAAGATTTTCTATAGAAAATTTGTTAAAGACAAGATTTTCTATAGAAAATTTGTTAAAGACAAGATTTTCTATAGAATATTTGTTAAAGACAAGATTTTCTATAGAAAATTTGTTAAAGACAAGATTTTCTATAGAAAATTTGTTAAAGACAAGATTTTCTATAGAAAATTTGTTAAAGACAAGATTTTCTATAGAAAATTTGTTAAAGACAAGATTTTCTATAGAAAATTTGTTAAAGACAAGATTTTCTATAGAAAATTTGTTAAAGACAAGATTTTCTATAGAAAATTTGTTAAAGACAAGATTTTCTATAGAAAATGTGTTAAAGACAAGATTTTCTATAGAAAATGTGTTAAAGACAAGATTTTCTATAGAAAATGTGTTAAAGACAAGATTTTCTATAGAAAATGTGTTAAAGACAAGATTTTCTATAGAAAATGTGTTAAAGACAAGATTTTCTATAGAAAATGTGTTAAAGACAAGATTTTCTATAGAAAATGTGTTAAAGACAAGATTTTCTATAGAAAATGTGTTAAAGACAAGATTTTCTATAGAAAATGTGTTAAAGACAAGATTTTCTATAGAAAATCTGTTAAAGACAAGATTTTCTATAGAAAATCTGTTAAAGACAAGATTTTCTTTGGAAATTTTGTTAAAGGCAAGTTTTTTTTGTAGAAAATTTGTTAAAGGCAAGATTTTCTGTAGAAAATTTATTAAAGACAAGATTTTCTATAGAAAATCTGTTAAAGACAAGATTTTATATAGAAAATCTGTTAAAGACAAGATTTTCTATAGAAAATCTGTTAAAGGCAAGATTTTCTATAGAAAATCTGTTAAAGAGAAGATTTTCTATAGAAAATTTGTTAAAGACAAGATTTTCTATAGAAAATTTGTTAAAGACAAGATTTTCTATAGAAAATTTGTTAAAGACAAGATTTTCTATAGAAAATTTGTTAAAGACAAGATTTTCTATAGAAATTTTGTTAAAGACAAGATTTTCTATAGAAAATGTGTTAAAGACAAGATTTTCTATAGAAAATTTGTTAAAGACAAGATTATCTATAGAAAATTTGTTAAAAACAATATTTTCTATAGAAAATTTGTTAAAGACAAGATTTTCTATAGAAAATTTGTTAAAGACAAGATTTTCTATAGAAAATTTGTTAAAGACAAGATTTTCTATAGAAAATCTGTTAAAGACAAGATTTTCTATAGAAAATCTGTTAAAGACAAGATTTTCTATAGAAAATGTGTTAAAGACAAGATTTTCTATAGAAAATTTGTTAAAGACAAGATTTTCTATAGAAAATTTGTTAAAGACAAGATTTTCTATAGAAAATTTGTTAAAGACAAGATTTTCTATAGAAAATTTGTTAAAGACAAGATTTTCTATAGAAAATTTGTTAAAGACAAGATTTTCTATAGAAAATTTGTTAAAGACAAGATTTTCTATAGAAAATTTGTTAAAGACAAGATTTTCTATAGAAAATTTGTTAAAGACAAGATTTTCTATAGAAAATTTGTTAAAGACAAGATTTTCTATAGAAAACTTGTTTAAAACAAGATTTTCCATAGAAAATTCGTTTAAGGAAAGATTTTCTATATAAAATTAGTTAAATACAAGATTTTTCTGTAGAAAATGTATTCTAGTTACAGTTTTGTATAAAAAATTTATTCTATACAATTTTTTTTAAAGAAAATTCGTTACTTTATATAGAAAACATGTTACTAGGGAAAATTTGTTGTACTAGATTTTCTATGAAACATTTGAAGAAGAGATGATAAAATACAGCTTTGTAAAAGACACCACATTACTTTTTATTTAAACAAGAATAAAGTTCAAAAATATCTAATTTGTTAATACTTGACAATTTCATTGTTTAAAGCTGCACACTACTAAAATAGGGAAATTAATAAAACAAATAAATAAGAGATTAATATTCTGCCAAAAAGTGAGATTCTTTATATTGAAATTAGATTAATTTAAGCTCCACCAATCAAGGCACATAAAGCACGTTTGTAATCACCAGATGTTTCCGACTAGAACACAAAAATTTTATTAAAATGACTAATTTTTAAAAAGCAATTGCCACAGTTTTTAATTACCTTTACAGCACTAACTAAAGTGCGATTATAAATACGTTCAAATTCTTCTTTAATATTGCCCAAATCAATTTCCGAACGTGATACTATAATGCGTATTAAAGTGGTATCATCAGTGCCCATGCCGTCCATGGCTTTGAATAGGCGATTGGCAAAGAAGGCAGGGGGTGATTGAACACATTCAACTGCAAGAGAAAATGTGTTTAAAATGTTATTTTTGAAGGTCTTTTTGTCTTACCTATAGCCATCATAGCTTCATGTAATTCACCGCTCATTTCATGCTTAATAGCCTGTTCAATTGTCTGACCGCTTACATTCTTATATTCCTCAAATACCAAACGCAATTGAGCAAAACTACCATGAGCCATTATGCGATTGAAAACCTCTTCATCGGTCCCCAATTTAGCCTCACCGGCATTGTACAGAGCCTCTGCTTGTTCCCTGGCTTTTTCGGTATCAACAGTACCAGCTGGATCCCTTACACCAGTAACTATTAAGGTTAAAAGACGTCTAAAGTGACCCGAAGTTTCACTGCACATATGCTCGGCCAAAGGACGATCATACATATTTTCATAACATTTAACTATTTCAGCCATTTCTTCATTGGTCTTAGTACATAAGATTTCCACTAGAGTACTTTCATTGGTACCCAAGCCCGCCATGGCTTTATGCAATTGTTTGCACAAATATTCCACCGGTGTTAGCATGAGAGCAATAATGACATCTTCAAATTTGCCTCCAAGTTCACTTTTTAAATCTTCTATT